AACAAGAAAACATATATAAAGAAGTTGACCAGTTTAGCCCCATCTTCTCCGATCCTCCTCTTCGTTAAAAGGAGTATACCAATCATGTTCGTGTCTTAGAGTTGCTCAGCCTATATTTCAGTATAAGTTCCTCATCACATAACTTCCTTGTTGCCAGTTGCCACCATTGATGAAGATGACTGCATCTTAGTAACTTGGAAGCACACCTCCATGGCTGCATCACCACGTTTGGGCTATTACTTAATAATGGGCCGAACACACTCTTTCTTATATATTTACGTACCACTTTTGGTCCAAAAATAATAACATTTTAAAACAATACCATAAATATATCCTTCTAAAACCTATATTTATCAAATTATAATTACTAGGTGATTCTCCTGTACTTTTATAAGGATATAAGTATTTTCTAAGTAGATACATTTTAATAAGTAACTAATATTTTGTTTTCGATTTTATAATTTTATAATTTATAGATAATTTATCTAAAAAAATAATATGTAATTTTAATTACACATGTGATGTTATATATATATATATATATATATATATATAATATCATTCATTTTATTTAGTTGAATTAGATTGCATCTACTTCTCCAAATTCAACTATAAATTTGTTGTTCTAAATAAATAAATTTTGATTAATTTCTTATTTGCATTTAAATTGGTTGTTTTCTTAGATAATAAGATTATGTGTAATTTAATATATCTATAAATATATATATAAAATATCAAAAAATATATATATATACTTTAAAATTAAATATCAAAATAAAAATAATGAAAGTTTATTAATTCATATTACATAAATGAATATAATAATATGTGAAATTTATTTTAAAATACTAAACATAAGCATTATATTTGCTTGGGTATTTTTATTATTTCTTTTTTGAAACACAATTATGTGTATGTTGAACTTTAAAAATATGAACAAAAAATAAATTAAAACCAGAGTAAATATTAAGCAAAAAACAAAGATACTTTTATCTGATTAAAAGTATTTAGAGTTATGCTAGTTAAAAAGCGTTTTTAATTATTTGATCAAAAAAGTTTTATAGTAAAGAATTACTTTTTAGTTTCATTTTATAATATATATTATCTTACTTAAAATCTTTGTTTTAAAAGAAATACTAATTTTTTGTTTTAAAATATTTTTTGATCCGAGGTTATTGGTAGCTCCCCCAATGTTTCATGTGATAGATTTCACTCAAAATGAAGGTATAGCTACTCTCTACGTAACATTGAGTTCCACAGTGTTTCATATATGTAGAATATCTATGTACAGTCTCCTCTGTTTGGTAAATGATATGATCCAAACTCATTTAGCTGTCAATTTATTTTCACAGGAAGAGCAATTTTATGAGATTGATGTCCCGTTGAAGTTCACAGCGTCTGTGTGTGGCAGAGTGCATGGGCTTGCATGCTGGTTCGACGTTCTCTTTGACGGCAGGTATCAAGCCATTGCAACTTATATGTACTTACCATCTGCTGTTATACAAATTATAAC